TTATTAAGAAGCGCTGTGTGGCGTGTCTGCTGCCTGGAAGTGTGTCCAGGCGTTCGCAGACGTACTTGTAATGAGTCACCTATGCGGCTCGCCATGCAGAATGTTATTCTGGAGCTCAGTGTGAGTCCAGAGCGCATCGTCTGACGGGTCCATCTCCGAATCCATTCACACTGTACTCTCTGAGATGTATACTCAGCTCTATATCTGCCTGAGGTCTGAACCCAATCACCAAATCCTTACATATGGTTCAACGTATGGATGTCATTTAAAAGGTTTCAATCTTTTTAAATCTGCAGCTTTAATTAAAATAGTCTGTGGTGATTCTGCCATGAAGGTCCTTGTTCAAGCACTTCCTGTTATAGAGTGACAACGCTCTGTACTGTCTCCTGATTCTGCTTTTGCGTTGGTCACCCTGTCATACATGGTTCTATGAGAGGCCGTTCCGACATACATTGTGCAGGCATACCATAGTCACCATTGTGCAGGCGTACCATTGTCCGGAAGCCGGTCCAGAGCAATGGAGTGCAGCTGACGCTGGAGTGTATGCATATAGACAGGAAGTGGTTGAAAGAGGTTAAATCTTGCCTGATTTTTTTATGTGCAGGAGATTGTGGGAAGGTAAAGTGGAAGTACCGGATTTACCCCTCCACCCTATACTGTACATACTTTTTCCCAGCAGTCTCCTAGGCGGTCCATCGATGTCACGGCTGCTTCCTCCTCTTCTTCTAGTGGCGGTGGGGGAAGCCATTTTTCAGAAATGAGCGGTGCTTATGTGATCAGCTGTGAGTGCTGCTCAGTCCTGGATTACTGTGAGCCCGACCTACATGATGGTGCCCCCAAGAAGGATTGTAAATGACAGTCTGTATTCTGACTTCGATTGTTGTATTAGCAATTTATCCCTTGCTGAGACCTCTATAGCTGGCCTGTATAAGCAGATACAATCACCGCGGGCAGTCTTTATCAGATAGCTGAACTCACCAAATACCTTTTCATCCACAAAGAGTATTATTGCTTGCAGCAGATAATAGGAAACTGCAGATGAATGAATAGATGTTATTTGAAAGGTCAGAGATTGTAATGTTTCCAAGCTAGCATATACATGTGTATGTGGCCATACTACAGTTAGCCATGATACCAGAAATGACTACTTCATGAACAAAGGGGAAATACATCATAAATGGGTGGGAACACAGATAACGTGGTGCAATAACCAAAATGCCCACAAGATGGCAGTACAATAATGCATCTGCTACAATTTATGGCTTAAGGAAAATTAACTAACAGGGCTATTCACAAAAGGGTGAAGAGTTTGGAGAAGACAGGAGAAGTGAACAATCTAGGACAACATAGCTGACCTGGAAAGTGAGCTGAATTGGACCATTTTTCCAAATCGGCTATGTTGTCCTAGATTGTACACTTCTCCTGCCTTCTCCAAACTCTTCACCCTTTTGTGAACACCCTCGTATGTGACTGTCATTTCACATTAATATGAATATCAACTGTTGCTATGCACTGTGTCATATTGTTATGCAAATATTGTGACAGCACAGTCTGGGCTCCAAAAATTTGCAAAATGCCCAAAGAGGAACTTACTTCGCTGGAGAATGTAAGTAGAAATTGGGAATATACAGTATGTATGTATGTATATATATATATATATATACTTAGGCAATGAATGGCCATCCAAGTAGATATACAGTACTTGGCCAGGGTTAAATGAAAGCCTGGCAAGCTTTGCAGCCCACTCTGATGATAAGAGTGCTTTGCTTGACTCGTGTGCTGCTCTTTTGCAATCTTTCAAATCCGGCAGCAGTTAGGATTCATCGAACCCCACTCAGAAAAATAAGACCTGGTTTCCTTTTCATTGCTTGCTATCCAGACCTATCGGTTTTCCCTGCCTAATGAATGGAGTGCATTGCTCAGCCTGGTACTTGACTTGTTTGATGTGAGTGATGGCTTAAAAACCTTAATCCTTCAGAGATTGGCACCTTTATCTTCCATCCATAAACTGGGTCATCAGGGCATCGGGCCATCAATAGTTATAGCAGCGAAGCCTTGTATTTCCAATTCCAAGACTGTTCCCTTTAACTTATTAATCTGAGTAACTGTGTTACCGGCCACCGTTGCGGGATCGATGTCTGTCACGGTTATGCACTTCATTGCATCATTGACTGTGAATCCCATCCCGGCACTTTATATATAAACTGCACATTTCAAAACCGGTCAATATATAGCTTTCCAATCTCCTGAACCACCAGCTGTGTGGGAAAGATTAATAGGAGATCAATAAATGGAGAATCTGGCGCTTTCCCTTTATTTAAAGACTCACTTAAGAATGTCACCGTTGAGTGACGAGGAATTTATCCTGCGTTGACATCGACCGATGAACGTTACTGAAGCCTACATCAGTCTTAAAGATGTAAGGAGATCGTGTTGTTGGAATTTAATGTACTGCATGCAAAAGAGGACCTGTCACCACAGTGGAAACGCTGCTTTCATTAAAAAAAACCTAACTCACCTGTGTTGCAAGGGCTTTGATTTATACTGACTTATATTCCAAGCATGTAAAGTCTGCTGAAGTTCAGTTGTTGAAGGAAGAAAAAAAGACTTTATTGAGACGTGGGAAAGCTTTATTGATTTGATTAACCCTACCAAAAAAGAAATATCCTCCAGTAAAAAATAAATCAAGACAGCTGGACTTGGCCTTGATTTATTATGTACAGATATACCATGATCTGGATGAATGAGAACCTTCACAGACATCCTCCAGTAACATCGGAAAATGTACTATCTCAATAATTGGTTGACTTGACTATAGCAGAACTATAGAGAAGCATCTAGAAACACAGCTTATGGACATATTTATAGATAAGTTTAAATTGCAAAAAGAGCTGTATTCCAAAAGTTGTGCAGAACATAGGACACATCTAGGGGACTGACCACAGTTGCCTTCACTGCAAATACTGCTTGGTTATGGATGCGCCCCACCTAGTGACTGGATAGTGAGAGGAAAAAAGTATGTTGGCCCCCTCCGAATAATTCAGTTTGGTGTTTCCAGTTAAAGTGACACTAAACTCAGGAGTTAAATCTTAAAATACATTCAAGTACCTTAACTATTAGCAAAAATGGATCTTATTTGTGTATCACTCGGCTGTAGGTCCTCAAATCATCTCTGAATTGGTGCTGACACTGTCCTTCCTTCTGGAGGGGGGATACTTTTGTTCCCCATGGTCCCTGTGTGTGTTGTAAAGTAGTCACCACTCCAAGCTCCCTCCTGTGATGGACTACAATCTTATGTTTAGTTTACTCATTTGTATTGAGATTGTAGTCCATCACAGGAGGGAGCTTGGAACGGTGACTACTTTACAACACACACAGGGACCATGGGGAGCACAAGTAGCCAGCCACCCTCCAGAAGGAAGGACAGTGTCAGCACCAATTCAGAGATGATTTGAGGATCTACAGCCGAGTGAAACACAAAAAGGATACATTTTTGTTAATAGTTAAGGTACTTGAATGTACAGTGGTACCTCGGTTCACTCAATTTGTTCCACGATTCTGGTCGCGAACCGAATCAAACTGATCAGACCAAGATCTTGACTGGAGGAAGCCACGACCATGTGTCAGAGCAGGGAAAATGGCTGTGGTTGTGTTCGTCACCCGATGCGGAGTTCGCGAATGGAAGCAGAGTTTTGACAAACTTCCTATTCGCGAACCGAATTGTTTGCGAACAGAAGTGTTCGTGAACCGAGGTACCACTGTATTTTTAAGATTTAACTGCTGAGTGAAGTGTCACTTTAATTCTACAGCATACAAAGACATTGTAGACAATTGTGCTCTTCCAACCGTGTAATAACACTTTGGGGAAGGCCCTTTCCTGTTCCAGCATGACTGTGCCCCTGTGTATAAAGCCATACAAAGCCAACTCTTTATAGACTTGGTTTGACCAGTTAGTGTGGAGGAACACAGAGCCCTGACCTCAACCCAACTGAACACCTTTGGGATAAATTGGAACTCCAATTATGAGCCAGATCTTCTCATACAACATCAATACCTGACCTCACAAATGGACACAAGTTCCCACAGACACTCCAAAATCTAATGGAATGCCTTCTCAGAAGAGTGGAGACTGTTATAACCACAAATGAGGGACAACTTCATATTAATGCCCATGTTTTGGAATGGCATGTCCAACAAGCTCATATAGGGGTGGTAGTCAGGTGTCCACAAACATTTTTCTAGTGTGTAGTGTAGGGCACTGGCAAATCTTAGCATTTCCTTTAAAAGTCAAGCATGACCCCATCCCATCCACCCTCCAAACCTACCTTTTATAGTCATGACTGTCTTTACCAAGCAATAAATAGGTAGAAGTGTGTCGCTTCAAGCTTGACTTTTTGCAGAAACTATAAAGAATTCCATACTGATTCGACTTACTATATCAGATCCACTCATTGTTTTCATATGTCATATCCAGGGTTACCACCATGTATGTGTTTTTCCATGATATGCTCAGTTCTCAAGGGCCCATATTTGTGATAGGTCAACTTTCAATTATTATAATACAGGATTTATATAGCGCCAACAGTTTGCGCAGTGCTTTACAATATAAAGGAAGACATTATAGTTACAGTACAATTCAAGACATGATGGTTAGGAGGTCCCTGCCTGTGAGGGATTGTAAACTCTGATGGGCAGGGCCATCCTAACAATCTTAGATCTTAATTTATCTCAGCAGTCTTTCAGCAAGGATGTGCACAGTGCCATTTAACAATCATATATCCACTAGGGGATCTGTATATTAAGAAATGAATTGATAAAAATTTGGCTGAGAATACGGCGATGTGAAAATTGCGGCAAAAAAAAGGAGGATTTTTGGATAAACTTTACGATAAACTTTAAACTAACTTAACAGCTGAAAGATGAAATCTAACAGAGAATATGTGACACCTGCCTTTAATGAATTAAAGTGCTCAATGCTTTGCTTTCTGTCCCCTGTACAGGAGCGGGTGGAGTACCTCTTCCTCATCATCTTCACCGTGGAAGCTTTCCTCAAAGTCATCGCATACGGGCTTCTCTTTCACCCCAACGCATACCTCCGGAATGGCTGGAACTTGCTGGATTTCATCATCGTGGTCGTAGGGTAAGTCGGAGCGAGCCAAACCAACTCAAAGTCCGATTTTGTTTTGAATAGAATAGGGAAAGGGTTAGAGCATCTGTCAGTGTTTTATTGCAGCCTGTACCCTTATCGTTGGGATTTCACCTCACTTCCTGTCTGAACAGGAAGTAATGGGAAATGTCTCCAAATGGGGCAAGTATAAGAATCTGTCACTTTTGCTGGACAGCTTGGCCTGTTACAGGAACTAGAAAGCTATATGTACGGGATAAACAGGTAATATAACTATTTTACACGGAGGGGGCTTGGAAATAAACAAAAACTGCTGTGTTAATGCTGGTGACAGATTACACCATATACATCATTTTTTAAAGTTCTACTTCAGTGGATCATCTTAGTGTAACCTATTGATTTTAGATCTTGTGATTACCACTGTGTTGTTATGTTGCAGCATTTCCATGGCTAATTTCTCCTTTCTTTGTAGGCTTTTTAGTGCAATTTTAGAACAAGCAACAAAGGCGGACGGCGGCAGTGCCCTCGGAGGGAAAGGGGCGGGGTTCGACGTGAAGGCACTACGAGCATTCAGAGTGCTGAGACCCCTAAGACTGGTGTCTGGGGTACCCAGTAAGTAGATGGATCTTATATCTGCATTTATTGTAAAGGAGGCGACTCATTGATGTAGGCTGTGCCTGCACCACCCTCCTTCTGCCCCAGCCTATTTCCATTCACGTGTATGCCATAGCCCAGCTGAGCCAGGCATTGGCAATGATGGCCATGCCATAAACCCAGATGCCAGGTCCTGTCTGCATGGTCAGTTGCCTTATTTTGCTTATAAGCAATTGCAATCTGATTTGTTTGTGCCAACAAAATTGATTTGAAATGTATCTAATCCCGAAAACTAAAATGTAATTTATTGCAGCTTACTAGTGTCAGTGCTTACATGTGGTGGTTGCATTAGTTTTCATTTTCAGGCATTTTACTCTATTTTCACCTCTTGATCTGACCAGTAACACATTTAGTCGGGTTGGCGCCGCACCAAAACCAGATTAAGGGATGCAAAGTCACCGGCAGTCCAAACATTTGATTGCGTCTTACATATTTATTGTGAAGAACAGTGTCAAAGACATAGAGTATATAATGATGTTGCAGGGCCTCTTTCTCAAGGCAAATCTATATTGCTTTGATCAGACCTTGAAAGACCTGTAGAAGAACACGCATTCAGAGCCATATCAGACTGACACCGCGGTGCGTTCCATGGCCCCTACTCTGCCATCCGTTTTGTTATCCCCGCCGCGGTGTAACACCCTCTTGAATTGGTGCCAGTGCGGGCATTCACAGCGCTGACAGAATATGTCTTCTTTGCCATGTGGAGCCCTCTAATTAAGCAGTAATGTCTTCCCATGCCAAGCCGGGGGGCGGGGGGAGAGGTGCCCGCTGCTGCCGATGACAGGCAGCGTGCAATGCCATCATTTAGCCGTGGGCTCCCGGCCAAGTAGTATTTTTTTTTTATGCAGCCTCTGAAAAGCTCCATCAATGTCAGCAAAAGTCTTTTCTGTGCATAAAACACTCTCTGCCATTGCAAGCGATCACCCGGCCGTTCCTGCCTCAATTCCCCAAGGCTTGCAGCAACATGTGCTAAATTGGCAATATAATAATCGGCTGGAAGGCACATCGCGCTCATTGTAATGTCTACCTCCTAATGGAAGACATGCTAAACAGCTCCCTACATTTCCGCTCAAACCTTTGCAGATTGCTGATAACAGACGGCGGAAAATAAAAGAGAGGAAGAAAACGTTTTTTTTATTGCCGACTTTCCTGCCCATTGTTTTTAACGCTGAATGTAAAATAGGATTAAAGGGGAACTGTAGCTTTTTTATTATTATTTTTTTGTAGCTATACAGAAAGAGACCTGCTTACTGAACATCATCATACAATATTGATAGGTCTTAATGTTAACGTAGTAATAAACTCTGAAACTTTTTTTTCAATAATGAATTCAGATCAAACAAATATACATTGTGCACCAAAGCACTGCTTTATATTTTTGCCCAAACACGTTTAATCATCATGTTTTTGAAGAGCTTCTTCCAGGTCTCTCAGCTCAGCTTCCCTGAACTTCCTGTCCTGTGCTGGATCACAAAGGACAGTGTAGACTCTGGCAACTGTTCATCTACTAACTTGGAGAAGGAAGGAGGGACCTGGGGGGGAGAGAAGTAGCTTGATTTGCTGTGTCTGCGTGTTTGTGGAGACACACACAGCTTACTAGCACACACAAGGGTGACTGCATAACACTCTGCTTGAGGAAGGAGTCACCCTAAAACAGGATATCAGGACCAGTGCTTAGGAGACCAGCTGATCCTGCAGGAAACTAACATTTTTAAACATTAAGGACGACAGTGACGGCACTGGTTGCCAGGAGCTGAGAGGGGACGCTCTGGCCTGCGTCCCTCCTGGCAGCCAGTGCCATCAGTGAGATGGGCTGGGTGCTGGACAGAGCTCCTCACAGCGTGGTCCGGCATCCGCCACCACCCCCCACTCTCTTAGAAAAAATCAGCTGCGCACACCTTCCACCCCACCATTTCCTAACACCTTCCCCTACCCTGGAACAACATCACCTCAGGCAGCAATTTACCTGGGGACAGCCCTGGTTAGGGAATCCTTGTTTGAATGTATAAATTATATTGCCAAAATATGTAGACCCCTCAGCTTTGAATGGTTGTGTTCAGGTTTTTCCAGCAAAGAGCACTCCTAATGCTACAGCACACACAGACATTGTAGACAATTGTGCTCTTCCAGCCTTGTGATAACATTTTGGTGAAGACCCTTGTCAGTTCCACCGTGACTGTACCCCTGAGTACAACACCAGCTCCATAAAGACATGGTGTGACCAGTTTGGTGTGGAGGAACTTAAGTGTACTTCACAGAACCCTGACCTCAACCTTACTGAACATCTTTAAAATAAATTGGAACTAATGGTGAGCCAGATCTTCTCATCCAACATCAGTACCTGACCTCAAAAATGACCACAAATTCCCCACAAACATTTCAAAGTGGAATGCCTTCCTAAAAGAGTGAAGGATGTTATAGCCTCATAGGAGGTGAACTCTATATTACTGGCCATTGTTTTTAAATGGGATGTCCAACAAGCACATGTAGATGTGATGGTCGGGTGTCTACACAGTTTTGGTCATATAGTGTAGATTTCAATTCCATATGTGCAAGTTCCAGCTCTATTATCTCTATATTTTCTCTCTATTATCA